TATATATTAATAATAAAAAATATAATAAATGTATTTTTATCTTATTTTCAAAAATAAATGATAAAAAAATCCAAAAAATTATTTGAAAGAAAACAACTGTACTTCACAAAGTTACAGCGACGGCCCAACTGCCCAAGGGGGGGAAACCGGGAAGCCGGGAATTCCCTCCACCGACACAATCCAAACACACCCTCTTGCCACACGTGGCCGATACATGCTTCCTTCTAATCCAAAGATCACAGTGCCACGTGGCAACATGTGTCACTATCACCGTTGCACATTTATCCAAAATGCTCTAGACTCCTACGAAAAACTTCAAAATCACCAAAAAAAAAAAAAAAAAGAAAAAGAAAAAAAGAATAAAACTTCAAAATCTTACGTGGGATTAATTGTGATCTGCTCTTAATTATTCATCTTATCAACACAAGTTTCATTTTTATCTTTGTCTCTTTCTTTAAGTAATATAGGTAATAATATAAAATATCTTTAAATTCTTACTATGAGAAAAAAATATTAAAAATAATTAATATTGTGAGATTAAAAAATAATTTTTTAATTTGACAGGTAAAATGTCTTTAGGGCAATTTTATTTTTTCTTAAGATTAATTTTAATTGAAATAATTTTTAAAATAAATCATTTACATTGATTGGTGTGTATTTTAAAAATTTTTTAAAAATAATTAAGAGATAATTTTTTTATAATCTTATATATTATTTAATAATTAATTTTTAAAATTTCAAAATTAATAATATTATATAATGATTAATGCATAGGAGTTTTTTTTAATTAGAGTTTTAATTTATATATGAAAATTAAATTTTCATTATATTAAATGTTGATATTTAAATTTAAAAATTTATTATATATTTTAATATAATTAAAATTTAAATTTAAATATCAATATTTAATAAAATAATTTTTAAATTAAATTTTAATTAAATAAAATGATACAATTTAAAATTAAAATTTTAATCATTTTTTAAAGTCAAAATTTATATATATATATATTTTATATATTTATTTAATAATAAATAAAAATGATATAAAATATTAATATCAAATTTCAACTTTTCACCATATTAAAAACTATAGTAGTTCCAAAATGAGAACCTTCATGGTGATAATTAAATTCGGGTCCTAACCAATTCAGCGGGACTCTACTAAAAACAAAAAAAATGAAGGCGAAAATACGGTTCCCTAAGTTTCATCTATATATATACTAAAGCAATTAATACAACGAATATACCGCTAACACGTATCGCGTTGTAATTGGGCGCTGACGTGGCACGTAGCTGTCAGAGAGCGCGCTCCGCAGAGGGCACCAAAAAAACAGAAGTGGGTAGAGTAGTGATGGCCTAATCACTTCGCGACAAGCCTTGATTCAAGTGCCCCAAAACACCCATCACTTTTTCCCCTTATTTACACTTTCACCATTGTTGGCGTTTTTCTAGTTTTTTTTACTGTACAAGATAAACATATAATAAATATATTTATTTATAATTAATTTTTATTAAATATATAAATATTACTATTAATTTAATTAATTAAAATTATTTATATATTAATAATATTAAAATATATATCAATTTTTATAATTTTTTTATATAAATTAATTATAAAAATATACATTTATTATATTTTTACTGTAGTGTAAAGATATTAGATGAACCCCTTTTTTTCACTTCCCTCTATCCATCCCCTCTCATTTTGACAAGATTACCCTTCATCTTTCGTCTTTTTTTTGTCCTAAAGCACTTCCTTCTCTTCCTGTTTGCTTCTTTCTTTCGCACAACGTAAGCAAATGACAAAAAGCTAAAAAAGATTAGCCCCCTATTAGCCCTTTTAGATTTGGGGTTGGGTTACAACTACAATTCGTACCATAAAGCTTTATTCTATCTTATCATTTGTAGGGTTTGCTTTTTTTAAAGCTTTGTTATTGAAAGTATAATTAAAGTCACACATACAAACAAAAGGTCCTTACATTATATAAATATTCTCAACGCGTAAACGTTACATCAGTTATTGTTAAATAAATTTAATTTTTTAATAAATTTTTTAATAAAAAAATTTAAAGTATTTAATATAAAATTATTAAATCATGATAATCACCCAGTAATATAGAATCAGTCTTGAAGCCTTATTATTGTCTTAAAGAAGACATAATAAGACCTTAAGTGCAAAGGCTAAAAAAAAAGACCTTAAGAGCTCTGCTTTTATTTGATGAATGGTAATAAAGTTAATAGGAGAATTAAACCTTGTTTAAGATTATTATTAAGTGTTATTATTTGATAATTACTTTAAAAAGTATTATATATCAATATAATTATGAAATTATACAAAATATTAATTATTAATTTAATTGTAATAATTGAATACCTTTAATAAAATATTGTATAAAAAATATTCGAAGATGGCAACCTCATGAGCAACCTTAACTACTTAATATTTTTGACTTGAGGTTCATTTATCAATTGTGTACAAGTGGGAGGGTATGAATAGAATTGAGCAAAAAAGATGATGACCTTGTTGAAATTTAGTTTTCATGCAAGGGTGTTTTTGACAACACAAAATACAGCTATACAAAGACAACTCGAGTTAACAACTTAGCGTGTGGAAGTAGTCTACTTGGATGATGAATAGGGGATGTAAACAAACGCGAAAGGGGGTTGGGGGAAGCAGTGATATGTGCTGATGATGGAGGAAGCATACCTTTGTCTTTTTCTGCTTATATTAATTTAAATTCACTGTTTTACATTGTTGATACTGTTAAATTGTAACATAAAAAAACTTTAATATTAGATAATTTGTTTTGAAAGAAAGATTAAAATATTTTGATTTTAAAATATTTTAATATTAAAAATATCATGATATTCAATAATAACTAAATAGTATGTTAGGTATGATTTAAATTCTTATATTATTAAATTTATTATATAATTATTATTAAAAATTTTAATATTTTAAATGGTAAAACCTTTTTTTTCTCATTTGATTTTTTATTAATTAAAATTATATAATTTAAATTTATCTTAACCTATATGACACTTTTTTATATTAAATTTATTGCAATAATTTTTTTGAAAATATTAAATATTAAATATTATTATTATTACTTTTTTAAAAAACAACAAAATTTGGGATGGATGGTATGGGATAGGGATAATGGCCCGTGTTAGCAGACATACATTTCTACCACTATATGCTTACATACATTTCTACCACCATATGCTTCTTTCTTACACAGATTCTTCTTACTTCTTACTTAATGCCCATGAATCCACTTAATTAGTTTCTGTTTCTTCTTCATCTACAACAAGAAACTGTAACAGGGTTGGTGTCTATTCTGTGCATAGATCTCTTTGGTGTACTGTAGGGGGGACCTTCCCACCCACATGCCTGTGTGTGATTTAGGGAATTTGAGCACTACTAAGGACTAGGGTTCCTATCAGATTCTTTGTTGGGAGTTGGGATTTTGGATTTGATGTTAAATTTCGAATCTTTGTTTCCTGGTAGTTTGGCCCGTTTCTTGTTCTGGGCATTGGTTGGTGGCTGAGAAGATAAAACCAATTTCAGTTTAGAATTAAAAACTCAGAATCTTTGGGATTCTGTGATTCTTTTTTGTGGCTATGTGAATTTCTTTTCTTCCTCCATTCTGCGTTTTCTCTTTGCATTGCCTGTTTGTAGCTATATTGTTGGATAAGGTAGCATCTTCTCCACATACACTTTCTCTTTCCACTTATCAACTTGAAGGTTGGTGCTTGGTGGGTTATTCTTCTTCATTTGTTGTTCATGTTTTGCTTCTTAATTCCAATTCCAACTTCCAAGCTTTGGTTTTGGTTGTTGGGTTTTGCTAGACAGTCTCTGTAGATTTGACAGTGTCTCTATCTCTGTCTCTCCTTTGTTCTAGCTGGAATTAGGGAGGACTAATAAATACCCAATTCATATAGGCACTGTTTATGTAGTTGGAATTGTTAATTATTGGGATGAGTTTGGTCCATGTATTAGGGTTTTGGTTTAAGTTAGGGAATCTACTTTGGTTGCCATGCTGCTGGATCGTGTCTGTAATTTCCACGAACTGGTTCGCTAGTGGTGGAATTCAAGACACCAAGGTTGCTCTCCTTGGTGATGGTGGTAAGATGTGGCTCAGATGCTGGGAGAAGATCTCGGGGTGCAGCTTCAAGATCCACGACAACTACTACCAGTATATTGGGTCCAAGAGAGTAACTAGAACTTGGTGGAGAATGCTCTTAGTCACTTGGGTAATTGGTTGGACCATGGTTTCTGCCTGGATCTTTTGGTACATGGGTTCTCAAGCAACTGAAAAGAGGAAGGAGGCGCTTGCAAACATGTGTGATGAGAGGGCTAGGATGTTGCAGGATCAATTTAACGTCGGCATGAATCATATCCAGGCCATGTCCATTTTCATCTCAATTTTCCACCATGGCAAGAATCCCTCTGCTATTGATCAGGTAACTATTATAATTCTAAAATCGTGGCACTGAATTTCACATTTGATAATTATGTACCTGTATTTCTTTATTGCCCTTCTCAAATTTGCTCCCTGTTACGTGTAGTCAATTAAGGGTAATGAACATTTTTTTGTCTCTGTCTTAATTCAGAATTGAATTCACTTATTTGGTCATTAAAGTACATGATGGGGATCAATTTTGGGCATTTAATGATGTAGTTTGTTATATTTGTATGAGAAAAGTTATGCGACTATAACCCTGAGGCACTTGTATCATATAGATTTTCAAATGATGCAAATTAACATAATCTATAGAACGAACTCCTGGTTCAGACTGGTAAGCTTGGTAATTAACCTTAATCCAGGACCACTTCTGAGTTATTTAATCCATGAATAATGAATTCTTATTGGTTGTTTATAATCAACAACACAAACTCACTTTTAAGAACTTGTAGAGGACTTTTGCGAGGTACACAGAAAGAACTGCTTTCGAGAGACCCCTCACTAGTGGTGTGGCATATGCTGCAAGGGTTCTCCATTCTGAGAAGGAACAATTTGAGAAGCAACAGGGCTGGACCATTAAAAGGATGGATAAACTTGAACAGAATCCAGTCCATGAGGATGAGTGTGCTCAAGAAGCCTTGGAACCATCCCCAATTCAGGACGAATATGCTCCTGTTATCTTTGCACAGGATACCATTGCGCATGTGGTTTCTCTTGATATGTTGTCTGGAAAGGTGAGTTGTAGTAGTTCCCGAATGGGTCTGGTGGTTGATTCTCCATTTTCTGATTTGGAAGACTTGTATTTTCAAGATTTGAGAAACTATGGCACTTTTTTCTTTCAGAAGCTTGAGTTCATATTTATCTTTAGTTGTGAAGTTTTAGTTTCTTGTATGTCAACAGGAAGACCGTGAAAATGTCTTGCGTGCAAGGGAATCAGGAAAAGGAGTGCTAACTGCTCCTTTGAAATTAATCAAAACAAAACGTCTTGGGGTTATTTTGACTTTTGCGGTTTATAAGAGGGAACTCCCCTCAAATGCAACTCCAAATGAGAGGATTCAAGCAACTGACGGGTATGTTTGGTAATTGATGGAATTCGTTTCATCATTGTTTCATTGTTTTTTGACAATTAGCAGGAAAGAAATTCACACACACAAGCACAAAGTGGAAAAAAGTAAGAGCAGTAAAGAAGAAAACGTTGGGTTAAACCTGTGGGGTTGGCTAAAGTGGTTAAGGAGTCATTTGAGCCACGTTGAGAATGTAGGTTCGAATCACTCCAACGCCATCTGGGTGCAAATAATTCCAATGAGTCATGCCCACCACCATAAAGGTAGTGCCTTATCTGATTCCTATGGATGGAGTGGTCTGCAAGTACCTGTGGGATTAGTACTCACATTACCCAAAAAAAAAGTGGAAAATTTTGGGTTAAGATTTTATACTATTAATCTCATGCAACAAACTCAATATAAATGCTGTGCAGAGGAGATGGGCTATCTCATTCTCTCGCATCATAAAGTCCTTGATGCTGTGCTTTAGTTTAAGGCTCTAGTGAGTTTTTCTCATGTATGTTACCAGTTACCATGATAATCACTGAGAAGTTTTTGTGACGTTGCTTACCCAGGTATCTTGGTGGTGTTTTTATTATTGAGTCACTTGTTGAGAAGCTACTTCAACAGCTTGCTAGCAAACAAACCATCCTTGTAAACGTGTTTGACACCACCAACCAATCTCATCCTATCAGCATGTATGGTTCAAATGTATCCAATGATGGGTTGGAGCATGTTAGCCATCTCAATTTTGGAGACCCTTTCAGAAAACATGAAATGCGATGCAGGTGTCAATAATTCTTGCTTGCCTTTTGTTGATGTTACTATTAATATTTGGCCAACTGTCTTTCATTAACCTGGGCTTCAGATTGCTTCTGATTCAGGCCTCAGTCTGTTATTGGTTTTTTTACCAATTATAGCAAATAAAGTTCCATCATTTTTTTGAAATGAGGTATTGATAAGATGGCTGTGTCATAAGGCCACACCCAGTCCACTTTTGTATGGTGGCACAGTTTTGCTGTTATTGATACACAAAGAATTGGGTTATCTTTTACCAAGCAGTAAATCCCTTTTTTAGCTCTCCTTTTAAAGAAAATGTGCAATGAGCTTAATGAGATATGGAATATGTTTGTTCCTCACTCAGGTTTACACAGAAGGCACCATGGCCATGGTTGGCAATAACAACTTCAATTGGCATCCTTGTGATTGCGTTGCTTATTGGCCATATATTCCATGCAACTTTCAATCGAATTGCTAAAGTTGAAGATGATTGCCATAAAATGATGGAGCTCAAAAAACGAGCTGAGGCGGCTGACATTGCAAAATCACAGGTATATGATATTTTCTAGTTAAATCATTAGAAATTTGACCTCTTACAGTTGCATGGTCCTGATCAAGTTTCAACCTTCTGTAGTTCCTTGCCACTGTTTCCCATGAGATACGAACCCCAATGAATGGTGTTCTAGGTGAGTCTTGAGACTAGCCTTTTTTCTCTTAGGTTATTTTTCTGTATTGCATATTTTGTTTGGAAAAAATGAAAAATACATTAAAAAACAAGTGCAGAGGCATGACAGTGAGACATTTGCTTTTCAGGAATGTTGCACATGCTTATGGACACCGATTTAGATGTAACACAACAAGAATATGTCAGAATTGCACAGGCTAGTGGCAAAGCTTTGGTCTCACTTATTAATGAGGTTTTGGATCAGGCCAAGATTGAATCTGGTAAGCTTGAGCTTGAGGAAGTACAGTTTGATCTGCGAGCAGTTCTGGATGATGTATTGTCACTCTTTTCTGGGAAGTCTCAGGGAAAAGGAGTGGAGGTCAGATATCCATATCCTCTCTCTCTTTATTTTCAGTATGTGTTGTTCATACAACTGCTCATTACCTCATATACTAAAACTTGCTTAATCTGTGTCTGGGTGAGAGCAGCTAGCAGTTTACATCTCTGATCGAGTTCCTGAAACACTAATTGGTGATCCTGGGCGATTTCGACAAATCATCACCAATCTCATGGGTAACTCAATTAAAGTAAGTATGTGGTGGTTTGTCTTTAGATTGAGTGCATATACAAGGAATGTGAGAATTTTAGATTCTCTTTAATAACCTTCAGCAACATCTGGAGTGAACATAATCTAGAGATTATCAAATTTTAATATATTGCCTTGTTTTCTTCCTTACCATATTTGGGAAATATAACTAAAACAATTAAAATTGAAGGTACTGAAAAAACTTTTTTTTTTTTCAGCCAAGTTTGAAGAGTTGTTTTATGAGTTGCATTATGGCCATAATGCTTTTCATAGTTTATATGAATATCATACTCACCAATTAGGATCATGGAATGTTTTCTGGTTCCACCCTCCTTTTCCCACCTTTTCTTTCTCATAACGCCAGGAGTTCTACTCTAAATAAAGTTCTATCTAGATTTTGTCTTTTGTTTAGGCACTGATGCAACTTATTTAATGTATTTGGCAGTTTACACAGCAAGGACACATCTTTGTCACTGTCCATCTTGTTGAGGAGGTTACTAACTCTATAGAAGTGGAGACAGAATCATTGTCGAAAAACACCTTGAGTGGTTTGCCTGTTGCAGATAGGCGCCAGAGCTGGAAAGGTTTTAAAACCTTCAGTCAAGATAGTTCCATTCCTACTGTCACATCATCATCCTGCAATAGTGTTAACATAATTGTATCGGTTGAGGACACTGGTGATGGAATTCCACTGGAAGCACAGCCTCGCATTTTTACACCTTTTATGCAGGTGGGTCCATCCATTTCTCGATATGGAGGCACAGGAATTGGGCTAAGCATTAGCAAATGTCTGGTTGGCCTTATGAAAGGGGAAATTGGATTTGTGAGCATACCAAAAATTGGATCCACCTTTACCTTCACTGCTGTTTTCACCAATGGCTGTTCCAATTCAATTGAATATAACAGCCAGCAAGTCAAAAACCAGTCCAACTCTATATCTGCTGAGTTCCAAGGCATGAGAGCATTGGTTGTAGACCCTAGATCAATGCGGGCCAAGGTGTCAAGATATCATATCCAACGGCTTGGAATTAATGTTGAAATTGTTGCTGATTTCAATCAAGGTTTATCCAGCATAATCAGGGCAAATGCTGTTTACCACATGGTTCTTATTGAACAGGAAGTTTGGGACAAGGATCTGAGTGCTTCAAATCTCTTCATCCACAGTTTTAAAAAAATTGATCGTGGGGTTCCTCCAAAACTTTTTCTTTTGGGCAACTCTGTCAGCTCTTCTACAGAAAACACTACAACATCTGGTATTGATAGCCCAAGTGTAATAACGAAACCTCTATGGGCTAGTATGCTAGTTGCATCTCTACAACGAGCCATGGGTGTTGGAAACAAGGGGAATTTCCGCAATGGGTTGGTACCTAGCTTGTCTCTCCAGAGTCTTCTTCTTGGGAGAAAAATTCTAATTGTAGATGACAATGATGTGAACCGCAAGGTAGCTGCTGGGGCTCTGAGAAGATATGGAGCAGATGTGGTTAATGCTGAGAGTGGGGCAAAGGCTATCTCACTGCTTAAGCCACCCCACCACTTCGATGCATGTTTCATGGATATCCAGATGCCAGAAATGGATGGGTAAGTGATGCCTCATTGCTTTCAGAACTTCCTGTTGTAACTGTGGTTTGGGCTACCATGGCTTACTTACAAGAACTTCTAATGCAGTGTTGTATTTCTGTATTAGGTTATGGCTTTACTGATGCATTTATCTGGAAAATCTAATGTTTTCTTCCACAGGTTTGAAGCAACCAGGACAATTCGGGATATGGAGCAAAAGATAAACAACTGCATTCAACATGGAGAGCTATCAATTGAAGCCTATGACAATGTTTCAGACTGGCATGTGCCTATTTTAGCCATGACTGCAGACGTGATTCATGCTACACATGAGGAATGCCTGAAGTGTGGAATGGATGGTTATGTGTCCAAGCCATTCGAAGCTGAGCAGCTGTATAGGGAAGTTGCACGCTTTTTCCAATCAGCATGAAATAGAAATCAATAGAAATGACTGTTGAAGACATGCTGATCACACAAGAAAGAGCACCTGCTCTTCAGGATGCATTCGGAGATACTTAAATGGATCCAGATTCTTCCAAAAGTAAGTTTTCCTCTGATCTCTACATATGCTTTCTGTTGCTCTACCTAGTTGAAAGGTTTTTGATTGTCAAAGTCCCTACGTAAAGCTTTATTTTGTCTCACTGGTCTCTTAACATATAGCCATGCTTGACATATATGCAGCAAAACATTTGTTCTGTGGCAGAGTGTACATAGAAGGATGCTTAATTTATTGGGATTTAGTTTTCTTATTTTTCAAGACAGATAAAGTCTCGTCATTTTTGCATGTAAAGCCGATCCCATCTCCAAGCCTTACCTCAGCATTGGTAAATCAAAATTCCTGTGCATGGTGAAGTCTTTCAATACGACTTTGAATTCAGAATCATCAGTTGGAGATGGATGGAAGAAGTTCTCTTTCTCGGCTGTATGATATAGAATTCGATTCCTTCATCCTATGTAGTTATAAAAACTGCAAGACCTAGGAAGAGATGTTGGTCTTCCTTTGGATGTTGTTGATTGTATCATATAGGCTTTGTTGAATAGAAAGAGTTGGAAGGTAACTTCTCAGCTGCAAAGTGGAGAATGCACCTTGTATATAAATCATTACAGTGAATAAAGTATTTGTTTTCAGTACAAACATGATAACACCCCTTTTTCTTTACATTGCCCTCTGAATATTAAGACCAAAGCTTCTGTAATCAGATTGAATATGGCAATAACCATTGAACTTTTCAGGTGAAAGGAATTTGGGAAAATTACTTTTATGATACGTTTATTAGATTTATCTTTATTATTTGGTGAGGGTGTAATTTATAATCTTAAATAAATGAAAATGTTTTCACAAAATTTATCATAAGTGTACTAAGAATTTTTATAATGTTTATAATATATTTTTTTAAAAATGTAATAGTTAAAATATTAATTTTTAATTAATATTAGTTAAACAAATTATCATAAAATTAAAAATGTAACAATCAAATCTCTCTACACAATTTTCTCAATATTTCTTTCATCGTTAGAGGTGCATATATTTTCTTCAATTTCAAACCACTCGATATTTAGAATAAGTTATTTTCATTAATTTAGTTGAAATTTTAATGAAATTAAAAGAAATTTGTTAATTGAATGAACTATGTTAAAAAAAATCAAATTTTTGGTGATCAAAACTAAATTATTAAATTAAGTTCAGTTATTAAAATAAAAATTATTATTCACAGTAATAAAAGACCAGAAAGAGAGTTTCACTTATTGTTCTTTTTAAAACCTTAATATTTATTTAATTAAAATTAAGAGGTACTTAATATTTTAATTATTTGCCAAAAAATAATATTATAGACCTTTTAAAAAAGTTTTAATACACTTATAAAAAATTTAATTGGAGTATTCTTACTTATATAAATTTCAAAATTCTATTCACCTAATTTAAAGGAAAAGCTTAAAGAACCCATTATAACTAAAATTTTCCCAATAATTTAACATGTAATGTTATAAAGACAACCTTTTTATGGGCTTGTTTGGTGCAACTTATTAGAATTTTTGTTTTTTTTACTGTTTATAAGTAATAAATTTAAATTTTTATTGAAAAGAAATTTTAAAAATTTACTTTTAAAAATAGGAAAAAGTGAGTAAAAAGTGAGTAAAAAGGAAATCTATAAAAAATTTAAATTTGAAGCTTTTGATATTTTACTGTTTAAAGTCTTTTTAAGATTAAAAAAATGTTTAAAAATGTAAGCTTTTAGAAAAGAAATTTAAACTTATAAGATATGAATAGTGTTAAAAAGCTGAATCACTTGAGAAGCTGCATCAAACGTTCTCTATATTATCTTTTGATGCAACTTTCACATCTCATTAAATAAATGAATGCATTCAATATTATAGATTTTATATAAATTAAAAAAAATAAATTATTTAAATGATAAATCAATTGTACAAAAAGACTATTCTAAAATCATTTCCCTAATTCAGCTATAAATCTGTGTCATACCTGCAATAAAAGTTCGTTTTTGGATACGACTGGAATTAACGTTAAATAGTAGAACTTTGGGTAAACCCGACAACAATGTCGATATGTCCGAGTGGTTAAGGAGACAGACTTGAAATCTGTTGGGCTTCGCCCGCGCAGGTTCGAACCCTGCTGTCGACGGTTTTTTTAATTTGTTTTTGAACAGTTTGGTCTTATGGAATGGGCCAGAGCTCCTTGAAGGGATCCAATAACGTACTGGGCTTTCAAGTTTCACTTACCAAATAACC